CATAAACGTTTCTAGCTCTCTATCCATCTCCTCTCCCTTCCTCTTTGTGGAAAATCAATAAAATTAAAAAAATAAAAAATAAATAAAAAGGAAAAGGCATGTATGTGAAGTTTTGTGCACATAGGGCCTTATTTGGGGAGGAGGGGGTGGGAAGGAGTTGGTAAGAGATTTAAATAATAATCTTCCATAGTCATTAGATATAAAGTTGGTAAATACTATCTAAAGTTGAAAAAAATCAGCAAATGTAGTTTATCAAATTTGATATGTCACCAGTTAAAAAGATCTCCATTCTGTGTACCTCTTAGAATGGGGGGGGAGCTAATTAAACTATGATATAGTTTGACATTGTAAGAACCAAAGATCTCAGAGGTATTAAAATGGAGGGGAGGAAGGAAGAGAGGAATGGTATAGAAATACAGCAGTGTATTCCATGAGAAACAACAAACTGTTCAAATAGGGTACCTCTGTAAAGAAGGTATCAAGGTGGGGAAAAGTGGAACAAGAGGTCACCATTTTTGTTACATCTTTTAAAAATATCATATGTGTTGTTTTAATTAAGAAGTTTTAAACAAACACACAAGTGAACAAATAAATCCAATCACAACCTACAATTAAAAAAAAACAACAAAAAGCTTTCATTGCTCCAGTGCTCATGATGCTGACTTAAATGCTATTTAATGAAACTATTCAGCAAAAAAAAATTTTGAAATTCTCATTAGTTTATTACTGAGAATCAACTACAAACTGATGGGAGAATGCTATAAAACAACCCCAAATCACTCTAAGTTACTGTCCCCATTTTGTGCTCTCTTCTGTCAAATGGAACGAAATCTAAAACATAATTGCTTATTTGCCTGTTTTATAGGCCTGTGTTTCTGATTGGTGAATTCTCCTTCCTAATTCTCACTTATTAGGTGCAGTTTACTTAAATATAATGAAACAAGCCCATTTATTGATTCCTTAGCCTAGAAAAGCATCATTTTTATAAATAGAGCATATTGTTGCATGAGTCATCAGTGCCAGGATACAACCATAGGTATTAGCTAACCAGGCACCTGTCCCACTGCTTATGGAAAACCAGATTGATTTGGAATGTGCATGGTACTCTAATAAGGCTACCAAATTCTTATTAGACCTAAACTCTCCCTTAATAAAATATATTTGTTCTGGCCTTCCTGAATATGTAAAGTAATGGGCAATGTAAGAGGACTAGGTAATACACATAGTAGTCTGCTTTTCAAAGGCAGAACCCAAAGCTTAAAGAACCCAAATCTTTTATTTCAAAATATTTTTTATTTTGTTAAAAAATACATAACATAAAAATTGCCATTTTAACTAGTTTTGAGTATACAATTCAATGGCATCAAATCTCCTATGTTGGAGAGTAAACCTGCCAGACTATTACACCACATGGAGACATGATCTTATTATACTAGATCAGTGGTCGGCAAACTTATTAGTCAACAGAGCCAGATATCAACAGTACAACAATTGAAATTTATTTTGAGAGCCAATTTTTTTTAAAATTTAACTTCTTCTAATACCACTTCTTCAAAATAGACTCACCAAGGCCATGGAATTTTTTGGAAGAGCTGCATGTGGCTCTCGAGGCGCAGTTTGCCTACCACAGTACTAGACAATAAACAAAGCTTGCCTTTGTTCTACAGCAGGGTTTCTCAATCTCAGCCCTACTGACACTTTGAACTGAATAATTGTGTGTGTGGGAGGGAGGGGGGCTGTTTATACCAAGATATTTTAGCAGCATCCTTGGCTCCTAACCATACATTCTCTTAGCTATTAGCATAACAATCAGAAATGTCCTCAGAGATTGCCAAAATCATATCCAGTTGAGAGTGACTGCTCCCAAGAAAGTCGGTATCCCTGTTTTTCAGGCCTGTTCACTACACAAACATCCTTATAAAGATAGTCCAGAACTGAGGCAATCGGTGCCTCTACTCATAAGAAGTGGAGAAACAGAAGAGCTCTTCAGAGCATTGGCTCCCCACAGAGATCTTAATATTCACTCCTAAAGTTTGATTTGCTTTTCAGGCATAGATAAATTACTTAGCACATGACATTTTTACACACACACACACACACACACACACACACACACACACACACACACACACCTTTCTTCATGGGCCTTTGACTAAAGTTATAGTATAAACCATTTAGATGACAGAAAACCAACTCAAAGTAGTTAACTAGGATTGGCCTGAAAGGCAGTGTGTGTAAGTATCATTTACAGCTGAGCCAAGTCATATAGGATGACTACATTTCCTTTCTGACGCAAGAATTTTTCAATCCCTGGGTTAATCATTGTTTTGTTGTTGTTTTTTTACTTGTTTCTTTGTTTTTTTTTTTTTTTTTGCATTTACTATTCTTCCTCTAGATCACTCCTGTGCTTTGAAGTTTGATAGACCTGCATTCAAATCCCAATTCCTTTGACAATACCATCTTGGACAAGTAATTCCACCTATGTGAGCTGCCTTTCTTTTTCTATATAAATTGAGGATTATCTCACAAGGTGGATATCACAATTGCATGAGATAAAAGTGCCTACTACAGTGCCTGGCACTCATAGATACTTAATGAACAGTACCTTTGTTCCTTGAGACCACCATTAGGGCACATCCTCAGAGCTGTTCTGACTGTAATGAATATTATTATAATGAATCTTCACACTAATTTCTCCACACTCTCACTTAGTTTTTGACAATATTTATAACAGAGCTGCTTAGGATATAGTGTTAAAAGTCACCAGATCATAGAGAGAATGACTCTACATCCTGACGTGAATAGCAGCTCATGCCAACCACATGAGCTGGACAATCCAAACTCTATTAAGTCATAGTGTCAATTTTCTTACCTGGTTTTATTTCCTTCAAACTGACATCAATTAGTTAAAATTGCTCAGCTTTTATCAAGCTGTCTAGTCAGTCTCTTTTGCATACTTGTATGTTAATAAGTTAGCATTCTTCAGTCAAATAAGAATTCAAGCTTCATGGTCAAACACTTACCCAAGGCTGCTCAGGTTCCAGCACTGATCTATGCCCCCTTCTAGTCACCTTTCCTTGTGATCATTAAACTTATGTGTAAAAAAAAATACCTATCACAGATTTCATAACTCATTAAATGTTTAACAAAGAGATTTCTCCTCTGGAAATAATGCTACGATTCTTTTCTTGATATCTGGCATTTTGACTTTGGAATATAAATTAGTCTTGGTTTCCGCAACTAATAGGTATTGTATATTCATGATGATTACTGTTCTTTGTCTTATAATATTTAATTATAGCTTCACAGAAGACTTAAAATTCCATTTAACCTCAGAAAAAAATACCTATCTCTGAAGTTTATAAAAAAATTATTAGTTGTAGCTAAGCCTGGATAATAAATTGGATTTTTGAAATCTGTGGTTTTTAACACATTGAGCTTTTCATTGGGAAAATGATACTTACAGAAAATGCCTGTGCAATAATCAAGCAGTGACTGCACTGGCTCACTGTGAATACAAACACCATTGAGAAGATCATCTATGGAATTTGTTGAATTGTGAAATTTGCTTTTTGAAAGGGAAGTATCATATAACTAGAGGCCTAGTGCATGAATTTGTGCATAGGTAGGATCCCTCTAGGAGGCCTACAGGGATGAGGCCAAAATCCACAATCCAATGCTCCCTGCAGCTCCTACCTGCTGCTCCTGCTCATCCCCGCCCCAATGTATCTGCTGTGAGCTCCTGCCCAATCAGTCCCAATCAGGAGAGGCTCACTCTTCCAAGCAGCAGCACTTGCCAGCCACGAGCCCTGGGTCTGGCACCCTCCTAAAGGGAGTGGCCTGTGGGATCTGGCTGAAACCAGCTCTCTGACATCCCCAAAGGGTCCTGGATTGCAAGAGGGCACAGGACAGGCTGAGGGCCTCCACTAGTGCATAATCAGGCCTGGGAGGGACAGTGGGAGACCTCCAGGGTGTGTCCAGCCTATCTCACTCAGTCCAGATCAGCTGGACTTCAGCAGCAAGCTAACCTACTAGTAAGCATCTGCTCTCTGGTGGTCAGTGCAGGTCATAGCAACTGGTTGACCAGTTGACTTTCTGCCTCCTGGTGGTCAGTGCATGTCATGGTGAGCAGCCTTCACATATCATTAGCATATAATACTTTGATTGGTTGTTCAGTTGTTCTGCCATTTGGTCTATTTGCATATTACCCTTTTATTATATAGGATAGTCAGAGGACAAGTGGCAATACCTAGTGACTTCTCCTTCCTTTGAGGCTGGGATTATGATTTTCCTTCCTCACCTAAATTCCCCTCCTCCACACAAAATTGTAAGAAACCTGGTTGAATTGTCTTAAAAAGTCTGTTTTATTTCTGGCATAATTTAGCTAGAATTAACATTGCTTAATTCCTTCTGTAAGCACACATGAGTGTAAACACACACACACACACACACACACACACACACACACACACACTATTGTGCTCCACTGGCCTAAGAAATAAAATCAATATACACATAGCAAATATTTGAGTTGCATTTATACAAATACTTAATATATAAAGAAAAAAATGAACTCTAATCACAACTACTTCAAGGACCCTAAAGGAGAAAACACTTTTGTTTTTAAAAACAAAATCAAACAACAATACCCTGCTTTTCTAAAAGGAGGACTATTTTTGTAGATAAAACCCAAAGCCAACACTCTTTGTTCCCCCCTCTGTCAAGTTTCTCCCTCTTTATATCTCATTCTTAACTCCAATCCACCAAATTCTTCAATGTTGTTTTTAAAAGATATACCATTTTCCCGTAATCATCATCATCATAAAAGACTCCATCCAAATGGCTATTCTTTGTGGGAAAACTAAAAAGAAGTAAAGGTGTTTTGTTTTGTTTTTAAGGTTTTCAGCCACACTACACCTGAGAGGGTTTAACTAACATATGAAAAACTTGAAATAAAAATAGCAATTGCTTATACATCTTTTTACAGGCATAGAGATTACCTGATCAACTGGAATCTCAACTTGAGTCTCTTCATCTTCTTGGACTTCTACTGCCCCCCGCGTTTCAGATCTTTCTTCTCCAGCTTTGAAAATACCTTCATCTGTTGAGACAAATACACAGTGAAATCAAAATCCAATTGTGACATCGTGTGGCTGCATGTAGAAATTACATCAAATACCTGATGAAAACATTTATGAAATAGGTATTTGGTTCCCTTTGTCTGGACAGGATTTTTGTAGCTTCCCTCCCTGAGGTTCCTCTCCATTTTCATTGTGAAAAGCTTTAATAGCCTAAACAAGGCTCACCCAGCAGAACAGAGATCTGTCCCAGATTCCCCCTCATATGTCGGCTTAGATTTAATACAACACTGTAAAGGTATTTAGATGGAAGAACTTCACACTTACTACCTCTGTTCTCCCCTCCTACCCACAAAACAGTGATGATGCTTAATGCTTTAAAATACTATTTTTATATTTTTCTTTCCAAAAAGATACTGGAATAATTCTCTCTGTTCAGAATAATATTAAAAAGAATATTTTTACTGTAATAGAATCATAAAGCTGACTCTGCATCACACACAAATCAATCTTTACTTTGAAAATTTCCACAGGATTTTTCCAATCTATTTTTAAAATCCCTAACTATAAATGTAACCTAAATCTCTAAGACTTTAGGTTAAGCATCTTTGACTTGTTTTCCTATGGAAGCAAAAGGAGCTATTTTCCGTATTTGAAAGAGTTTTAATGTCTTATCTCTCAGTCTTCTCTTCTCCAGGCCAAGGAATCAAAAAGTCACAGAACCATGGATCATTATGTCTGCCTACCTACCTCACTCACAGATGTCTCTCTGTCCAATTCTCCGGGGATGGAGAGTTCCCTTCCTTGTTGGTAATCTATTTCACCATGTGCAACCCATAAGGTCTAAAAAATGTTTTTTTTAATCTTTTTTATTAATACCACCTCTATTTCTCCAAAGAATGCTTATTTCCTAGAGCACAGTTATTTAACATCTTCCCATAATATTTAATGCTGTTAAAGAATAAAATAATTCTTAATTAAATGTAAAATATATTTTCATATATGCTGGGGACTAATTATCTCTAAGGCACAATGTAACACTCTAAGACAGTGGTTAGCAAACTGTGGCTCGCGCGCCACATGCAACTCTATGGCCCCTTGAGTGTGGCTCTTCCACAAAGTACCACAGCCTGGGTGAGTCTATTTTGAAGAAGTGGCATTAGAAGAAGTTTAAGTTTAAAAAAATTTGGCCTTCAAAAGAAATTTCAATCATTGTACTGTTGATATTTGGCTCTGTTGACTAATGAGTTTGCCGACCACTGCTCTAAGATATGAGTGGGATGTAGAGTGTTCCTTCAAGTCTACTACAGACCAATGCACATACAGAGATATAAACAACAGAGTGCTGTAATAGATCAAGGCCATAGCAGAGCCCTATGAAGCTTAGAAGATGCAGCCAGGTGAGGAAAGGAGGAAGGGAGGGTGGGAAAGAAGAGAGGGAGAGGAGGAGGGAGGGAGACAAAACCCAACTCAACTCCTTTTCGTTTCTCTTAAAGAAACCATGTTCCTTTTTAATTACTTTTTTTGTGACTTGACTGGATGATGGCTTCTCTACTCTCCTTTTTAAAAAATGGGACTGCAGAGCACCACTCACAGCTGATTCTCCATGTTAAATTAATTCACATGGATTAATTCATTTAGAAGATTATCTACAACAATCATTTAATCCCAGGCTAGATTTTTCTATCCTCCAACAAAATAGTTTCACTCTCTTTTCTTCCATCTGGTCTTGTATGCTTTAACAAAGCAGAGCAATGTTTCATTCACTAGAATGGTCTCAATTAAATCACCCTGCATGTATATGTAAACTGCACATAGACATACATAACAGGATACACTACAGAATCATTACCCAATGATGACTTCAGCATTGGCAGCTATTTTGGATTATCTCTACAACTAACTAACGTCCCCTGTCCCCTAGGACAAGGCTCACACAGCATGTCCAAGGATTATGTTCTGACTCTGATGTTTCTCACAACTGAGGACAAGGATCCAAAATGAAACTGCAGCCAAAGTTCAGTGATACCAGAAGAAAGAAAGGAGAAAATAAAACAAAGAATGTAGTGGTGTTCTCACACATTCAGGCCTGGAGTAAATGCTGAGTTTGCCGTGCACTCAACAAAGCCCAGGGTGGGACACTCTGAGGGGCTAGTAAAACAATGTTCAATCACTGGGTCCTAAAGGAGGAAAGTGAAAGGGAGGAATCCAAGCCTATAAAACTGGAATCAAAGGGACAGGGTAAGGCGATACATCTCTCTCCATCAAATTCTGGAACTTGGAACTCAGGAAAATAATAATAGAAACAATAAAATAAAATAAAATAAAATAAAATAAAATAAAATAAAATAAAATAAAATAAAATAAAATAAAATAAAATAAAAATCTGTTCTATTCACATGTGGAATTCATAACTCAAAGATGCGCAGAGGCAGAAGAAACCAATTTCAGAAAAGGGTTATACAATTTGTTAGCTGTTACCTTCAAAAGGGTTTAAGAAGGAAAATGAGATATGTTTGACTTTCTACCTTCTAAATTACCTTAGAAGATAACAATCTCTCTCATCCACAAAATGTGCCTTGAGTTAACCTTCAGAGGCAGATATGGGATTCATTAGACTATAGCTATGACCTTTGTGCATGACTTTTTTGGATGATATTTTTGTATCCAAGTGTTGCACTTGCTTTCAAAGAAACCACAAAGAGAAGCTACAGATACAACAGAAATATATTCTTAAATACTCACATTCGATGAAATGTTTAACTGTATCCAAGCAGTGCTATGAATGGCTTGCAGATGTGTTTTAGAATAAAAATTTCACCAGAAAAGAAGAACAAGATCAATAATCACAAATAAAATAGAATTGAAAGTGCACTGGAATGGAAAATGGCAACTATAAGAAAATAAAGAGCAGAGAGCAATGCTCACTGTGTGCACAGGAGCACAGAGAGAATACAGAGGTAAAGGAGTCTGGCTGAGGGTGTGGGGGAGGGGACTGAGAGGTGTGAGCACAGACACAGAAATGAGTCAGAAAGAAATACATAAGAATAAATGGTGAGAAAAAAGGAATAACAGCTAGAAAGTTACTGTGATAGAAGAAAACCTATTAGGATTTAATATTTAACTACAAATGCTATGTATAGTTAAATATTTTAAATTACATTTTATGACTATAAATATGTTTATATAACACATATGCATTTTAGAAAACTTGGAAGATGAAGAAGATAAAACATCCTTCTAATCTCTTGACCCAGAGATAACCACTAATATTTTAACAACAGACATCCATCCTCTCTCCCTCACTCACACACACACACATTCATAAAACTGGCACCATATTATATATTTTTTAAAGTTTTTTTTAACTTAAAAATCATATTGCGAACATTTCCCATGTTAATATTCTTTTAACACATAATAAATTGCCACATGTGGTGGTAATTAATGAATGATGCTGAATAATAAAAAACATAAATTTTTAAATTAATAGGGTAGATTTCATTTATTCAACTGTTAAATACAGTGAATTCTTAAATAACATAGCTTCATTCAATATCATCTTATATTAATGTTGACGAGAGAAAATACAGATTCCAGGCCGGTGCCATTGTCTGTGTGGTGTGTGCACATTCTTTTCAGGTCTGTGTAGGTTTTCTCTATGGACTCTGGTTTCCTCCCACACCCCAGAGCTGTGAATGTGAGCTGAAGTGGCCTGTCTAATGGATCCCAGTCTGAGTGAGAGTAGATGGGAGCGGCCCTGTGATGGACGGGGCTGTCCAATGTGGATCCTGCCTTGCACCCTGACCTGCTGGGAGAGACTCTGGCCACCCTCAACCCTGACCTGGAATCAGAGGGGTGGAAAATCATTATCTGATTTGCTTTCATTCATCTTTCTTAAAAGTATGTAGCACTCACATGTATTTCAATGTTTAATATTAGAATTTTGAGTCTTTAGGAGTTTGGTGGTGTTTTTTTTGTTTTGTTTTTTTACCATAAATATGCCATAGGAACTAACTCTTGTTTTTATCAATTAAAACTATGTTACAATTGATTTCGTTATATGTCGTTTCGCTTAAAGTTGCAGGTTCCAAGACCCTACAGATGATATGAAGTGAGAACTTACTGTATGTTTATCACGATCTACTGTACCGAAGTCATTCTGGGAAACCTGAGAGGGCTGATCTTCACAGGCTTAGTATCTTGAGTTAAGATCAGAGAGACACGCATTTTTTATCTTTCCATAAATATACCCTACGGCTTTTCCCTGCCTGCTGAGTCCTGTTTCCCAAGAGAAAGCATGGTCCATGGAACACATAGAGACGTCAATAAATGTTTGTTGAAATGAGACAAGATACAAGTTCCTGGTTTAATCCCTTCCTCACATACTGATTGACTCCCTTCCTGCTCAATGTCCTCTACAACCCTCCACCTCACACACTCTGCCGGGATTTAACTCTTCCTTCCATAGCCTTCCTCTAGCATGCTGACAATTCCTTCTAAATCCTTAGCCTTTTCACTGGATGCCCCTTCTACCTCTCCTTACACGAAGCCTCACCAGCCCAGGTTCCTCCCCATCCTGTATCCTAGCATCTCAGGAATTTCAATGCCCACAAGATGAGCTGTTCTACTGCACTGACAACCCCGTCACCTCTACCTCACCATGTATCCTTCCCAGCATGTAGGGAGACTTCAGTCATGTGCGATCGTGAGCAAAGAACCCAGAGGTGATAGTGCTGCTGTGCTAGTTTTTTGTCCCACGCCTCTACCCTCAACATCCGGTTTACTGCTTTCACCTTTGTCCCTGCCTGGCTGACTATTGGAGTCTTACTCCTGGTTCAAATCCTATTCAGCTCCACAAAATCGTTTCAGATATCCCCTCATTGCACAACCAAAAAGAATCATTAGCTTTCCCCATGCATGACTTCCCCGTGCATGCTTCTTCTTTCTAATTTTCGTTTTAAATCCTTATGAGAAGACATGCTTATTGGAGGGAGGGAGGGAGAGAGAAGAGAAGAGGAGA